TTGCATCCCGATTTTAATAATACTTTTTTTTGAAAATATTTTTTTTATTATTTAATAATTTCAAAATATTTTTTTCAATTAAAATATAAATAAAATATATTATAAAATCTTAAGTATTAAAAAAATAAGATCTCAAATATTTCTAATACAATTTTTTTTTTAAATTGTAAATCTTAATTAGCTTTATTTATAAAACTTAAAATTTAAGTTTATTAAAATTATATTATTAGATGGCAAGATAATTACAATAAATTAATTTATATTAATTTAAATAAAAATCAATTATGGTATTTCAAAATAATGCCAAAAAATATGCAAATTAATCTCAAAATTAAGTATTATAAAATTCCTACATTATAAAATCTTTTTATATTGGCTAAATATTTTAATACCTTACATATACAAGAATTTTTTGGAAATTATTATAATATTAATAAGATTATTAAAATTAATAAATATATATACAGTATATACAGTGAAATTCGATATACCGGAATCCCGATATAACGGATCATAAGTAAAACCTCGATATATCGGAATTGAGGTCTGAAGCAGATTATCATAACGAATAATTAATTTACCCTCGATATAACGGAATTCTTGATATAACGGATTTTTGATAAATTTTACTAATGGAACGGATGGTTCCATTATATTGAATTTCACTGTGTATATACAGTATATTATATATAAAGTTAGTTTATTACGGTAGTTAATTATCAAAAAATTGCTTATTTCAAGGGTATTTTCAAAAATTTTAAATAACATACCCCTGCTTTTTAGCTAACCAATAATCCAATACTATATATTATTTTTTTAAAATTCTAAAAAAAATCTAAAATTAAAGTTAAAAAATAAATCAGAAATATCAAACCAAAGAAAATTATTAAAAATAAAATAGGATAAATTCCATAAAATAAATTTTAAAAATCTGAAATTATTAAAAATCTTGAAATTAAAGAAATATTACCATAAAAATACTAAAGCTAAAAACTAATAATTAATTTAAGAAAATAAGTTATAAAGATAAAATTGATAAAATTTAAAAAGTATGCTGCTGATATAGATAAAAAAAACAAAAATTAAAAAAATACTTAAGATAAAAAATCCATGGTAGTGTTGACACCGGTTTTTGACGTTCGGTCAGGTAGTAACAGAAAGAAATATAAGGATCGGTTAATAAACAATAAGGTATTATGATGTTAGATATCAGGTGTTAAAGCAAATCGGTTAATGTACGTGTAAACAATAAGCAATTAATAAATAAATGATAAAGTAATTGAAACGTGTATATATTAATCTGTTTATAATCGGACTTAAATTGTGTATAAGTAATAAAACGATATGTAACAAAAGGTCAATAAAAGGTAGTAAACACTTTAAAGAAACAAGCGAATTGTAATAAATCGGAAACAACAGGCGGGTTTATTAACACTTGAATAAAATACGATATTACTGCCTCTATCAGCTCTCTGTAATATCCGTATATTTATCTTTTGAAAATAAAACCTACACGAACTGCACAAACTACTCCTCCACCATCGGTCTTTTATATATTGTTAAAAATTCGGTGCGAATCTGACTATCGAACAGATTTGCCACCCGGCCAAATGTCGTATTAGTCTTCTATTAAGCCACCTTTAATTCAGCCACTTTCCCGATTTTATCTAATCATTAAATAACTTAAAATATCTCTATGTAATATAACTAAAAATAAACTAATAATAAATATATATAAAAAAAAGAAAAAAATATATCCCGTGACTGACTAAATAGCATAGCAATCGCATGAAACATGAAATATCTGATAGTAAATTAAGCAAATTTTTTTACTAGCAAACCATTTATTTAAAAAAAAAAACAATTAATCTATAAATTGTAATATTTCAAGCCAAAATTCTCAATACCCTTATTAAAAAAAATTTTTTTCAATAAAAATTTTCCATGAAAAGACTTCTAAACGCAATTCTCCATCAAAAAGAGATTTACCTATAAAAACTTTTCAACCAACAAAATTATCAAAAAAATATCCCCTATTAAAAAACGTTTACCCTATTAAAAAAAAATCAAAAAGATCCTTACCCATTAAAAAAAATTCTACAATGAAATTTCTATGCGAGATTATTTATCTCCCTATTAAAGAAAAATTGGTTAACGAAATTCTCTATCAAATATAAATCCCCTATTAAAAAAAAATTCTCTAATGAAA